GTATTTTATGTTTTGTATTATTTATGACATGTTTTATATCCATTTTTTGGATCTTTGAAACTTGTTATTGTTTGATTCATTGTACTATCTAGTCGTGTAATTTATGCATGTATCCTGTTTTATATTTAGTTCTGTGACATGTTCTATATCCTTTTTTGGATTTCTTGAACAAATATAAATACAAATACAAATTCAACATAAAACCATACGTATCAACACAGTGAGTGTCAAGGCTAATGGTAATAAAATGTAGCTGCACATAAAACCATACATATCAACACAGTGAGTGTCAAGGCTAATGGTAATAAAATGTAGCTGCACATAAAACCATACATATCAACACAGTGAGTGTCAAGGCTGATGGCAATAAAATGTAGCTGCACATAAAACCCCATACTAAATTCTCAAATAGTCTTCAAACAAGAGGAATTTAATGTGAAGGCTGTTCTTCCCTCAAACATGGGTGAACTGCACCTGATGCCATCTACTGACAATTTATAACTTACTACCCTAATTCTGTTGAGATGAGCCCTTTTTGAGTAGTTGCAAGATGTGTAGCTATTCAAGAAATTCCAACATCTTACAGAACCCGAAGGTGCATTACTGTGTTCGCTATACCCCTCCACTGGTCCCTAACATAAGCTAGATCAATCCTGTGAACAGCAACCCATCCTATCTCTCTAGATCAAATTTAATATTATCCTTCCACTTACATTTTGGGCTTTCTAGTGATTTCTTTCATTCTGGCTTTCCCACCAACACCCTCTTCTCTCCATTTGTCCTACATGCCCTGCCCAACTCGTTTTTGACTTAATCATTCTAATTATACTTAACAAAGGGCACAAGTTACGAAGCTCCTCATTTTCTCAATCTCCTGTAACTTCATTGGTGTTTGGTAAATATAATCCTCAACATCCTGTTCTCAAACACCCTCAGTCTATGTTCCTCCCTTAATGTCAAGAGACGTTTCACGTGCATACAGAATCACAAGGAAATTACAGTTTTGTATATTCTAATTTACATGTTTTTAGACAGGAGACAAGAAGATAAAGAGGGTTCTGGACTAAATGGTAGCAAGCATTACCCAAATTTGACCTCTTAATTTCCTCCTGAATAAAATTTTGTTACTGTCGTTTGCCAAGACCCTCTGGAGAGGCAAGACGACATTTTAGGCTGTGTCATCACAGATGATGAAACATGCAAGATGTGTGACATAAATGTAGCAGCAGGAAAAAAGATTCACGGTACAACATATCAGCCGTGACAAGCATATACAAGCAGTGCAAATTTTGAACAAAAAGAAACCTGTGCAAATGTTACTGCAACAGTGTTCATCTGGAGGTGGAAATAAGTCATTGGATTTTTTCAGAGATCTGTGATGCTCTGGCATGTGCAAATATTCCATTTTGGGCTCTGAACAATGGAAAACTGAAAAATTTTCTGGAAGTAAACTGTGGTTGTTCCATCCCAGATGAACCCACTCAGGAAGAACTACCTTTCCCCTTGCTACAACAGTATCCTGGAAATGATTAGGAATAAACTGCATGGAAGAAGATTTTTGTTTCCATTGATGAGACCTGTGATATAGAGGCTCGCTACGTGGCAAACATCATAGGAACCTTGGAAATTGGCAGACCAAGTGAAGTGTTTCTGCTTACAAGTGAGGTGCTAGAATCCGTTAATGAATCCACAATTTGTAAACTCTTCAACAGGTCGATGTTTCTACTGTGGCCAGAGGGTATATAACACGAAGTCTTGCTTTTTGTGACCGATGCAGCACCACATATTGTAAAAACAGGCAAGTCAATAAAGTTGTTTTATATGAAATTGGTGCATATTACTTGCCTAGCTCATGCACTGCATAGTGACGGAGGAAGTGAGATCAAAATTTCCTCAAATGGATGCTCTCGTGTCGAGGATGAAGATTTTCATCAAGGCTCCAGCTCATAAAATGCATTTTAATCCTATGGCTCCTGGTGTTCTACTGCCCCCAGAACCCATCATTACAAGGTGGGGAGTGTGGATTGATGCTGCAATTTACTACTGCGTTCATTTTCAGGTAGTGAAAGACATTGTAGATTCAATGAAGATGGAGGAAGCTATTCAGGAACAGTTCTCATGCATCAAAATGGAAGGACAGCTGGCCTTCATAAAGGCAAATTTCAGTTCATTGACAGAAGGAATCCAATGCTTGCAGGAGAAAAGAGCAACGCTAGAAAATTCACTCGCTCTGGTGAGAAAATAGCCAGTGATTTGGAGAAAGTGTCAGGGGACAATGGTAAAATGGTGTCAAGAAAAAAGAAAAGTGTTCCGGATAAAAACTCAGGTTATGAAACATTATGCAGCATTTCGCGAATTCTGTCAGGAGAGTCCTTCAGCGCTTTCAGCATTGAAGAACTTACTGCTAGTGATTTGGTACACTTCAAGTACGCTCCCATTGTCTGCAGATGTGGAACGGAGTTTCTCCAAGTACAAGAATGTGCTGTCGGACAACAGGCGCTCTCTCACTTTCGAGAATCTCCGCATGTTGACTGTCATCTATTGCAACTCTGAATGAGATAGGACTTAAATGTTGGAATACATACCGTATATGTACATTTGATAAGCTTTCTAACACAAGAGAAAAAATCGTATTAAACATTTAGCTTCAAATTCAATGAATATTGCTTAATTTTCAACATAAAAAAGAGGACGAACTTAAAAGAGTAAGATGAGTTCAGTGTTGATAAAGATTAAAAATACATTTTAAAATAATTAGTAGATATTCTGACATATTACATTTTTGGGTCATATTTTAGGTAATTATTCTGGATTTTTTCAGTCTTTTTTAAATATTTTCAGGTCATCAAAATCCGGGCCCTGCTGATAAGCATACGGAATATCCAAGCAGTGTGGATCCAGCAGTAGGATTGTTTTAGGATCCTGCTGCATAACGTCTTTTAGGATTGGAATAAACACATCAATGGTGAGAACACATTTTCAGAATATGACACTTTATTTTATGCCGCTTTAAATGACACGTATTTACATTTGCTGCCCCACCAGTGCTGGCCTCCCAGCACATCCCAAAACTCAAAAAGAGTAGGCAAGGAAGATGATTAACTGGAAGAGTAAATGCCCAAGACTGTTTCAAGTGTGAGGTTCCACCATGCAAACAGAAATGGATACAGAGGGACCCTCCAAAAACGACCAAAGACCATCCGAAACTGTTAAGGAAATATGTACCTACTGATTAATCTGAAACTGCTAAGGACACACACCTCAAGTGACTAAAACTGTCAGGAATCTTAATACAAAGCTGATGGAAACAGTCAGCTGTAGATATGAAACAAAGTGGCCAGCTATCTCTAAACAGAAGCTCACACAACAGGGTATTATCTCCCTTTGTAATACAAGTACAATGATCATTCAAATTAACAAGGAAATGGCTCAGCTTGTACCTCCAACTAATCACCCACAGGAAACCTAAACTTAACAGTTTGGAGAAGGTGACAGGAAGAAGAGAAAGTTCACAGAAGAAACCCCAAGGCACTGGAAGTCGTGCAGAATTCTGCATAGAATAGACAATGCTGAAGGTGTTGGAAATGCAGGTGGATAGGTTAAGTGTGAGATATACAACATTAAAGAGCATAATACAATGTACCTTATCCTGAAGACTATCTCACAACATTTTTCTGTATTTATATGAAAGTAAAATTAGCGACGTTTCAAACTCCTACAACATCCCCTTCTCCAAACCTGCTGCTCCATGGTGAATCACTGCTGACCATTCATGTACCATCTTTAAAAAGTATGCCTGTTCCTGTGAATCACTGCAATTGTGTATGTGGGTACTGAGGGATGCAAACAGTGGATAAGTTACAAACTACCACATATCCTACACTTTTAGATGGCAGGCATATTAGCAACTTTGTTATTGTTTTAAACTGTACTTTATAATACCATTCCCTCTTTCATTTAAGTTCTTGTGTTCTATGCCATGCACATCCATCCAAAGATGCTCAGGTTCACATTCTCAATACACCCATAAAATCCTCTCCTACCTAATAATTCTTCAAAATGTGTCACTACCAAATCTTAAGCCCCTATTAATTATGTTTGTTTTTAAAATTACGATTTTGAACTGTAATAACAGTTTATGCCAAAATTACTTAAACCCATTACTGTCACATGTACACAATGTTATGATAAATATTTAAACCTTTCCAGGGCATGTCATATCCCATTGAATGAGTCCCATAGGTTTACACAGTACAACCATTCTAATCAGGAATTTCCGAGTTCCCTACAGCTATGTCATACATACGCTTTATAAAATTAAATTTAATTCTCTTACCACAGGCAACTTTTGCATCAGGATCTTGACTCAGGTGGGCATCAAGAATGGCATCACTTATCTGATCACACATTTTGTCTGAAAACAAACAGAAAGAGTACTTACTACCTTACTATTTTTTCCCCCTTGGCACTACAGCCCCAGTGGGCCTAGGCATACCTCCATGAACTCCGTTCACTTCGATTTTTCTATATCTTCTACCTTACTATTTACTTATGGATAAATACAATAGTCTATTCACACATGTAACACTAATACTGGTAAACAACCTAACACATTTGGGGTCATTTACACCTTTGGCGAGCTACGAATTTAAAATCGGAATGTATCGGAATCAACACATCAGCTGGGCAAATAAGAACTGTAATGACTAAAAAAAAATCTTGTATGTTTGTTTACAAAGTGTAGAAAAGTTAAGGGCATTATTACATCATAATAGCAGCATGTAGTACAAGGGTGAGGGGAAAATGGCGGCATGTACAGAATATCACTGAGCACTCGGTGCCACACAACGCTTACATTACAACGAGAAATATACACACGTCATTCAAAGCTATGTTAAAATGGCAGTGTATTCATTTACCATTCACGGTCCTGGCAAAAGGCCATTTCCCTTCAAAGCCACCATGTTGCGCACATGGTTGCGCGCCATTCGGCCATAGCACATTCACGTAATTCAAGTTATAATTTTATAACATTACTCACCTGGGTGACCTTCCCCTACTGATTCTGATGTGAAAAGAAATGTATCTTCTATCAGTTCCGGTTCCATGTGTCCGTTCTGTTGGAATCCGTTGATATACGGCGATGAAGTCTCGGGCATTCTGAACCTAGGTCCTAACTCAGTCAGTGCGTCGGCTGCTACTATGGAAAAGAGGCCTGCTGTACTCCCTGCACTTCTATTTATTACCTCTGTTCTGTCACGTGACTCACCGGCCTGCTAACGAGTACAGTCGGCGACACTAAAAATTGACCAAGCACATTTACATTAGGAATCAAGTTATTAATGTCTACAGCATTCTGTAATCTATACTATCTCTGTATCTGTATATTATGCAGTACAATAATCGTATCTCTATATTATTCAATATCATAAACATACAACACAGTTCTTCGCTATGGCACATACAAAAAACATCTCCCTTGTGCTCCATTCCCTAATATTTTTACTTTCTGCGTAAAATCAGATAAACTGGCTCCCTTCGCAACGTATCAGGAAGAATAATTATGTATGAACCATATATTAAATCCGCTGCTGAATATGCAGTAAATATAACCACTGTTACGGTGCATAATATTGACCACGGGACCTGCAATGTAATTGCAAAGGTATTTGAGTCATTACAACACAAAACCGGTTGATTACGAAAACGTGAAAAGTGTCATATTACAAATTTCCTTTACACTATATGCTTAACATATATTACGTATAGCAATCGGAAAGTTTAGATGGACGTTTTCTCTAAATGTCTAACAGGAAGCATCTCAGTTCTGTCACTTGTGTGATATTAGTTTTGCACACCTTAGGTATTGATTAGCGCTAGTACATGCGGTTAGACATATTTTTCCTCATATAGAAAAGGCATGACGCGCGAATGACGAAACCAACGTGCAATTCTACTTGGTTACAACATCCACGTAGTTATTTCCAACATAAAACGGATACTTATTTATCATAAAGTACCTTCCACGTGCATTCATGATCAACTGTGAACACCAACCCAGGCCAGCCATTTTGGAAACAATGGTAGGGGTTAACGTTTTCAATTACATTTTAATCGATACTAGACTGACTGAGAGAGGTTCTAAAATACGGCGCTAGATGGCATGATGACCTCTATAAGACTTGAGGGACAGCAGGCCATAGAACGGCATTTACAACGGCTCTCCGTTCATGGATATTATTGTTCCTGTTGTTGTCGTCGGTGTTGCTGTTGCTTCTTACATAGGACTATTATTAACACTGGAATACATACAGCACTTTTCGACGGCAATACCAGTTAGGATCACAAGGCATCACATCTCTCAAGACTGCGATCTTCATTAGTTACGATTAGTTTCTAGCACATTTTACAATACACTTTGTATTTTATTGTATCATAGTGTGTGTGTGTGTGTTTGGCGGGAATGAAGTTTCGCGCATGTTCTCGTGTTCGCACTAATCATTCCGAACCATTTAACCGATTTTCGTGGAATTTAGTGCGAGTTCGTGAAGCTGAAGGCTCTTTCAGCTTACGCAAGATGAATTGAGCTCTCGTTCATGCGGTTGAGGGAAAATGGCTGGGAGGATGTTGTCTTCATAATCGTCTCTCTTTACAACAGCATGCTACTAAATAAAGTAGCTCAGGGAAAATATTTTCTGTTGTGTATATGTCTGCCTACTGTACCGAGTTGCTTCCAAAAGCAGAGATAAAGAATGCACGGCTTTAAGAAATTTACGCAGGTCGTATTGGCACGTCAAACTCGTAATTCCATATCTGCTGCCGCGCTGAATTTTTAACTGAGAAAAACACTAGCCTTTTCAACACATGGCAGGAAAATGATGGGGTTATAGAGGAAATATGCAATGTTTGCCAGGGTTACTTTTATGAATATCTATAACATCAAACATATTCCGGCATGTAACATAGTGCCTCAACCAAATGACGATTGTAAAAAAAAAAAAAAAAAAAAAAAAAAA